CAAATCTTCGACGAAAGAAAAATGCTAGTGGAGCATACTGGGAGGGAATATCACGCTTAAGTTGCTTCTTAAACGGAGTTCGAAAGAGAGAGCCATCAACAACCTTGTCACTGCGTGGATGCAGCCAGTAAAGTGATACAGTTGGAGCTGTTTCTGAGTGCTTCTTCCTTCACGGAAAGTGAAATTTGGTAACGGTTTTGCCTCTGACAACAGCACAAGTAAATGACAGAAAACCCATTTATCATTCACCTAACAAATCACCCACAGTAGCAAGGTCGCTTCGGCATCGCTCACGCTTTCTCATATTGATAAAAATCGTGGAACCAAGAAGCTTCCCAGCAAGCCGAACGATTTAACTATTATATTTAAATCAATTACCGCATGTGCACGATCGTGCATGCCAAAATTCCACATAACGCCACAGTATCCATTGGGATCTCGTCCATCCAGCTCATATTTGTCGTTCTGCTCGATTAAAAAGCTATATGCACTCTCGTAGTCCGCAGACCATTCGATCACTTTTTTAGCCCAATACATACGAAAGTATCCCAGTATCTTCAAATTCCTTACTTTCTTTCTCAAAAAATGAAACAATTTTAGTCATGAGCGCTACGATAAGAAAAATATTTGAATATTTCATTCTACAAATAAGCCAAGCGTAAATAAACTCAGGCTGGAACGCACTCAAACTTGCCGATGCGATCGTGTGTTTTTGCGTTAAACTTGCAGGTCGCTAAAAGCAGGAATGGTCTCTACGCCGTAGTTTAACACTTGGACTCATAATGGCTATGTTTGGATCTCTTCCTACATGCAGAGAGGAAGGACGTAGGCTGGAATCAAGGTGTTGCGTACGTGATTATCAGCTTTTTGCATGAAGTCCGGTGTTTCCCAACACGTGCTCGTTCCTTGAAAAAGTGCAAACTTGGGGGTCGAAGAGGATTATGAAATCTGCAAAATGCACTTGCTTTTGAGTCTGTGGTAAATTTGAGTATTTCACATGCCCAAATACAGAGGATTTCACCTCCAAACTAAATCAAGACCGCAAATGAAAACAGAATATCCCAACGAGTATCAGCCCCCAATCTTATCCGGTTAGCGAAATAGCCACTTCACTACAAACACTTATGAAGTACCATAAGCCGCGGCGCAAGTGCAAATCGGAACTGAATTTGGGCATACGATTTCTAATATGGACGTAAATATTCCAAAAAAATTTCAGCCACTGTTTTCCAGCTAGTTTTCGCGTCAACGTAGTGCTAAGTGCGAATTTTGACGTGATCGCACACACTGTAAAAGCGTGCGCAATGGCCGAATTTGAAATCTTTAGCTCATACAAGCACATAGACTATTCCTGCAAAGTTTCAGCTTCCTATTTTGCCTGGTTCTCAAAATCGTTTTTTGCCAAC